AACTTAAATACAAAAAATAATATATATATGTATATAAACTTTAAAAATATGACAATAAGACTCAAACATGTTTAAGTACTTATGAAGTTCTTTTAGTTTAATAAAACTATTACAAGAAGAAATTGCATTGTATTAAAAACTTTAAATTAACTAAACCGTAAATTACACGTTATAAAATATTAAGCAGATATTTTATATTACAATGTAAATATTCGAAGAAAATAAAACTGTTTATAATTTTTAGATGTGACTAATTGAATAAATTAAACAGAATGAAATCATGAATAATACCACATATAAAATATAAATTCTGACGAGATCTAAGACTTTCATTGAAATAAAACTAATAATTTAGATTTACAACTCGTTTATTTGCTTTTCTTTTACTTTGCTAAAATCGACAATCACTATAAATTCAAAATTGATTAGTTTTATTTGAAAGAAGAATATGCTTTATTAATATTGGTTTTGTAGTAAACAAATATTCTTTGTTTTTTTTTTTTATAAATTTGTTCTTATTCTTTTAGATCGTTCGCTATTTCAATGCCACTTTTCCTATGAAACCTTTGGTATGATGGCGTGCTCCTACCAGTTCCAAGTCATAAAGCCTGTTACTTTAATGTTATAAATTTGCTTTATTTTATTATTATTATAAAGATTCGCACGCGATATTTAAAAATGCTTTTATTAAATAAACTAACATCTATATAAAGAAATTAATTTAAAAGCAATTGTAGGTATGCATCATTTGTGTGTCACCAGCTTAATAAAGTAACAGTGGAAACATTTTGTATGTTCAATTTATTGTAACATTGTATAAATGCTCCTTTTGTCTTAGTGTGACCTATAAAAGTTTAACAAAGAAACCACAAATATAGAGTGCGGGTTTTAGACGAAGGTCACATATAATAGGAGTCATTATAGCTTTATGACAGTTTAACTACACTTCGTAATTTTCAGTACTGCGGTAAAATTATTGAAATACCTATTGGTAATGAACCGAGAGTACAAGGGAAATTCACCAAATGTTTTTGCCTGAAATTATGCACGTTTTTAAAGAATCCAAACAATAAAAGTTTTCCTTTCTAGTGATTTTAAATTAAACAAACAACTTAGGGAATTTGAAAATTAATTCGAAACCTGTTCAATCGGATCAAATCAGGAGGATTTGAAGAAAAAGCAAACAGAACGTAAAAATGTTTGTTTTTATTTCAAACATTTATTCATCCTGAATTAAGTGAATCGGTAGTAAAAATATCATAAACAACCATCGCTGGATAATGTTATATTTGTGTGAATTAATATAAAATATTCTGATACAGATTTATTGGTAGTTGTGCCAGTAACATATTTCAATATGAATTATTATAGCATTTTTATATTGATTTACATTGTGTTATAACTTTATTCGTTTATATTTTCAGAAACTTTGTGTTTTATTTTTATAAAATATGTTATAGAATTTTCATTAAACAAATTGTTATCAGTCACAAGGTATATTTCCATCCCTGAATAAATTATAAGCGCATTTAGAATAAACTTCTTATTAATTTGTTTTGAATGAGATCACTAAACTTTTTAACGAAATTTTGTCAAACAATGTACACTTACACAATACATTTCTTCGGCATAATTACCCTTCTTGGCTTTGCATTTAAATGTACTTAAATACTGAATAAAATTTATAGTCCGTACGTTCAGCGAATTTGAAGTGAACGAAATTTGTTATGTGTTACTAATTCTAATGCTTATGTTGCTTTGTAATTCATTGCTGGCGATAAAGTAATTGCCGTGTTTCAATCTTTTTACCTTATAATATATTTACTCTATTGTCCAAATTAAATTTTTCATTCCAATTTTTCACCGAAACAAAAATATGATTAAGTTTCCGCTAGGTACGTTTGTTTAAAAAATATTTTCTTTACAAAAAAAAAAAATAGGAACAGAACACTCATCCGAAAAACTTATCTACCTTAAGAAAGCTGCAAAGATATTTAAATATGAAAATTTTAATTTAAACCTCATTGAGATGCTACAAATGTCTGCCCAAACAAAACCGGGTCTTTGATGGAAGCAAACAATGAGTCTTTTGAGGACTACAAGACGTAAAATTAGGTCGAGGAGATTTGAATAAGTAATTTGGAGAAGATATAAGGTAAACATCAGTATGAAAAAGGAGATGGGATGATGGGATCGACACGGATTTGAATGGGTCGCCCGCTAGTAATATTAGCAATAGCTTGTGTGACCATACGATTGGTAAAATAAGAACATCACTAAGATGTTGTATTGATGTAGATAAAACGTGTTTAGAAAAGATTTCAAATTGAATATTGTAAACATTTTGAAATTGTATAAATTTTTTAACATTCTATAATTTTTAACCATTATAGAAACTATGTATTGACAATGATAATTTTATTATAATGAAGACCGAAAGATTTATTGCAACAATTGTAACATTTGTATGTTGCAGTATATAAATGATATCATATTTTTTTGGTTATGATTAATTTATGTATTTTGAGGTCACGTTGATTCTATTATTATTAGAAAAAATAATTAAAATATTACTTTTATTTCTCTTAAACGGACCCTCGAACTTTCGATAAAAAAAAATTCTGAAATCACGTCCAAAATATGGAGGCAACACTCAGCCCCTAGCTGCTTTATAAAGAATACTTACTAGAATCCTCACCCAATCCGTTCATTCTGTTAAAAATAAAATATTTTTTTCTATTCTGTCGACTTTTTGCTAGCAAATATACTTTAACAGGTCAAAGGCTCTTTAGCACTTCCATCAGCAATCGTTATCGAAATTGCTTATGTGATGGAAGTGTATAATGAAATAGGGTTTTTCATAATAATATTATTTTCATGTATTTTTTATTTTCAATATATTATGATATTGAATATGAATTTTATCGTTTAATTTATTTGGAACTTAACGAAAATAATACACAAGGTTTAGTAGCTTTTACTTGTTTTCGAGATGGAATTAAATATCTGAGTATTTTAAATCCATGTTTAAATTTACTTATTTTAGACTTAATGAAGGTAGAAATAAAACTTATTCTTTCAAAAATAAAGTATGCCCTTTCTGCCCTTGCCCTTTCCTTATTCCCACCCTTTCCTACCTTTTCCTTTTTCCCACCCCTCCCTATCCCTAAAAAAAAAATAAGGTTGGCAACGCATCCGCAACAAAGATGTTGCGGATGTCCATGGGTGCCGGTAACTACCTTCCATCAAGTGGGCCGTCTGCCCGTTTGCCACCTTTAACATAAAAAAAGTAACTAGTTTTTGTCAAAATTGTATTGTATATAAAGTAGGACCTTATTAAAATCTAAACTAGCGTTTATTAATTGCTACTAGTGTTTAAGCAATAATGTTTTTATTAACTTTCATCATTTCATCATTGTTCGGAACTTTCAATACATTAAATGTAATTTAATTTAAAATTTTAATGCAGTACTTCATTAAATCAAATACCAGAGATTCGCTCGCTTTTCAGATAAATGTGTTACAAAAGAGTATAGTGTGTCCCATATACCGATTCTGTAATTATTATAGAATGTACTCCACATACGTTTGCTTCTATATATTCTATAATGAGTGTTTGTTATTTTTAAATTCTAAAGAACTAACCTATTGAAAGAAATTTAATGCAAATTCTTTTGATTCTCATTAATAAAATCTTGATGGTATCAATATATTTGATGATTCATAAATGTAAAATGTTGGAACTGTCTTGTAAATCATCTAAAATCAAATTAAGCTTACAGAATCACACAAACAAATTTAATAGAAATGCAGTTAGGTTTGTTAGGATTAGGTGAGATCGAAAATAAGAGTTAGAGACTATATTATATGAGACTGTATTATATGAAACAAATAACTATGTAATTCACAGAGGCAAAATTCTTTAAAATATATAGAACGAATAAAATATTCAAAGGAATCCTAAAAATTCTCATTAAATTAAAATAAAAAGATTTACCTGAGACGGATATTAAGGGTTTTAAAATTATGATACACGATTTTATTTATTTCGTTAAATAATTCACATATAAAATAACAATACGAAAACTGTGAAAAACGAAGATATATTTTATCTTAAAAATATGGGAAGATATTGAAAATAATGTATCTAGAATTACCGGCTGTGTTAAGAAAACGTTGTGGACCTTTTTTAAGTAAATAAATTTGTCGCTTACGAAAATTAATATCTACTGTTTAGGTATATTTTATATAATAAAGATCCCGGTTTATTAATCACAATTAAAAATTAATTGATTAAAGTATTAACTTAATATAGGCAATTAATCCTGTTAACCCGTTTTTTAGATGTATCCTTATAAAACTTTATAAAAAGTTATTAAATCAAAATAAAGTTCTTGAAGATCTCTTATTTTATAGGGCAATCAACGAATACAAAATCCATTTAGTACATACATGCTTGCCTTTAAAAGTGATCAACTCCAGCTATCTTTTACTGTTTATTATCACCATAGAATAACTTAGGAGGCAATCTTAAGGTTTCCAGAATTTTCTGAAACAAAGTACATTTGGAATAGAACTATACTAACGGTTTAACGCAATAAGAGTAAGTACTGAAATATTGATGGAACCAAACCCAAGTACATGGTACTATTTAAATGAATACTCGGGAAAATCTTAGGTAAGGTACAAGGTAGGGGGAGGGGGGGCACTTTGATACACAAAAATTAAATCTCTTTTCTGAGGACCGTAAAGCATTATATTTAAATATTTGTTTTGATGTGTGCATTGGCTGATATGTCAGCTTACATTTTGGCTACGCAAAAACCGCAAAAATTGGCGACGTATAGAGATAATGTGATTTTAAGAAAATAAAATATTTGTATCATTCTGCCCCACCAGTGGGGCACTTTGATACATGGGGTGGGGCAGTTTGATACGTATTTTAGATCCATATGAAATGCAAATTTAAACTGACTAAAAACCCAATATAAACTGTATTATTACTTAAAATTAAGAAATAAAACAATTTTATTGATTGAGACTAAGTTTATTATTCGATCGGGTGTAAAATTGTACTGTCTCATTATGTGTTCGTAATTATCATGAAATTGAGCTACAGCAGCTTTATTAAAAGCAAAGCTTCTTGCTGCGCTTGTGTTTTCTGGTTTTCGTAGACTCAATTCTGGGTTTCTCTTCCTGAAGCCAGCTGCCCAATCTTTTCCAGCGCATTTGTTTTTTTTCCAGGGTTTTGGATAATTACACCCTGAGGATTCTGCGAACTCGTATGCCAAAGTCAAAAGCTGTCTCAATGTAATGCCGTAGTGCATTTTACTGCAATTCAATAAATATCGAGTCAATGCCTTTTCTTGTTCGATTGAAAAAACTTGTGCAACGGTATACTTGGAACCATAGATGTTTGATGAAGTAGCTGTAGCAGTGTGTGATGATAAAGCTGCAGTAGTAGTGTGTGCTGAAGATGACGCTATTTGTGCTATCTCCATAGATGGTGCTATTTGTGGTGAAGATGGACCTGCTTGTGATAAAGAAGATTCTTCTTGTGATAAAGAAGATTCTGCTTGTAATGAAGAGGATGCTTCATTTGTAGATAATATTCTGGTAGCTTCAAATGATTTTCTGGCTTTTTCTATGCGATGTTGTAGGGTCGCAGTTTTGATGCTATATTTGTCGGCTGCTTTGCGTATAGATAAAGTCTTTGACAATACTTCACGTATTGCGTCTTCAATGTTTTCTTCATTAATATTTTTTCTATCAGTTTTGGGTTTGTAAGTACGCACCATTTTCTGAAAAAAAGAAAATAAACTACACTTTAATACACTAGAGGGGCAGATTGATACGTATCATTGTACCCCGCACATTACCGTATCAAAGTGCCCCAACGGACTTTTTCCACAAACAATTAATTTTATCTAATATATAATAACAATGCAATCAAAAACATTTTATAATACAATAATAACTATATTTACTTACCTGTGGTAACAAATTATAACAAAAACAACTAAAAGAATCCTCCTGAGACACAATTACATTTCATGTTTTTTTTTTGTAGACAGCGGCGCATGCCACTTTCAACACGTTAGTGACCGTTGAGGTCCAATGGCAAACTGGTGGCGAACGGTGTCACAACTGTTATTCTTGTGAATACCCTTGAGCATTCTAGTGATGTGCCGGACTGTGCAGCGTTTATCGGTTTTGAGATATAGATACTGTACCAATGTGCCCCGTGAATCAATGTGCCCCCCCTCCCCCTACTATGACTGATAACAAACAGCTGATTTTTATTTCCAATTGTTGTAAATATAAAATAAAACTCCAATCTCTACATAAATAAAAATGTTATTGTTACGAAAGCTTTAAAAAGATTGTTACAACTTTTTTAGCTATGAAAAATATCCGGCATATAATATTGAATTGAAATTTGTATATTTTTTTAAATATGTATTTTTGCTTCCTTTAAAAGTGTGATGAGCGTTTAGGTACAATTATTTATAACAGACGTTAAAGGATTGAAGGAGTAGTTAATTTTGTATTTTAACGACTAGGTTTTATTATAAAATAAATCACAGCTGTACCCACGAAAATATAAATTTCTTCATGGCTCAAAGCACATCTATTTATAATCATCTCATCATCATCATCATAAAATTTTCTCTGAACAATTTATTTCTAAATTCTGAATATTTTTTATTTATTGTATTTTTTATATATTACCGTAATATCAATTACAATTTAATACATTGCAACATTTTTTCAATGCTAAAGACTGTGATTGTCATCATAATTCGAAAATATGCAAGAATTTAAATGGGAAATGTTGTTAAATTTAAGGACTATTGAAGCCTTCTAAAAACTGTAATTTTATCTATAATATTGCAAATGTTGTGTCATTTACAAATAAAATATTAAATTATATTGCATACAATATTTAAGCAAAGCTACTATAATCTTTATATGGTAGGTAGCATTTGGTTTGTATTTATTTGCCTATTATGAAGAATCGTGTTATTTTTTCAATGGCTATTAATTTAAATGAAAAATATTGAAAACTATATTATTTAATGGTCTATAACTAATAAATTATATGTACATTGAATTGATAGCATTTATAGAACAAGGGACCATTTAAACCCAAATCGGATTTACATTTGGGAAATACGGCATACACTGTAAAAGTAAAATACAGCACAGTTTACGTCATGTAAATTATGTTATTTAGATATAGATTTGTTTATAAGATAACATAAATTTATATCCTAAAGTTGTTCTATTTCAGTCTCAAATAAAGAGCTTTCTACATTTTGCGTATACATATAAGCTATTGACACTGAAATATTCAGTTTTTGGAACCTTAATGAATGCTTTTAAATAAAATTGTACAATCCTACTAATTACTACTACTATTTTAGGAATATGTAAATTATAAATAAAAATAGTAATTTTTCTATAATTGTATTTCTGCACCCGGACGGATAACCGTTGTTTTAGGTTTCCGGCGCTGTAGTAACTTAAGCCGGATAGGCCTTCTAGCAGATAGCACCCGAATATCCATTTCACATCTAATATAATCCCTTTACACTAGTTTACATTAAAATACTGTTTCCATGTTATTATTACCTTAATTAATTACCTTTGTAAACTACCATACAATTTTAATCAATTACAAATTTAAATTATTTCTTGAAAAAGTTACCTGAATTTTATTCGTTTATTGGTTACGTTATTTTTTATTTAATTTTTATTCCCTTAAAATTAAGTTCTTCTAGAATTTTGCTCTACTCGCTAAGAGATGGCGCTAGTGTCATCGTTTCGTACTTTCCAAAGACTATATTATATTACTAAACCTTACAATCGTTTATTTGTGAATAAACTGTATACTTTTAAATTACATTTCTTTAACATGTTACGTAATATTCTTTTTTTATTTTTCCTACGATAGTATTTTTTTGATTGCAATCAAATGATAATCCAATAATTTGGTTGAATTATTGTGTCTAATTCATGTGGTTTTATATATGTAGTTTTAATAAGGTAGAATTTATATTTTTAATTTAAAAGTCAATAAAAATTGTATTGACCACAAAGTTTACCCTAAAACTCTACTAAGCTGATTATCACTATAAATCGCTTTGGAATAATAGCTCAAAGTTCTAATTGATATGACGTCGAGATGAAAGTCTAAGACGGATGCGCATCGCACGCTTCATATTTTATTACTTCATCGCTACTTGATCGCGGCTGTCGAATTAAAATAGTCAAATTGTCAACAAAAAGGGCCGACAAAGCGACGACAGGCAACTACCGCTTTTTTACAGGACTCTGACACACTGTCCACTAGAAATGTTAGTTTTATAATCAGATTATTAATAAGACAAAATTTTAAAACAAATTTTATACCAAATAGTTTTGATAGATTATTATTAATAGTTTGATATGTAATTACAGATGAATTTTTACATTCCATGGTATTATTACTTATGATGTTGTTTATGTGCAATAGGAATGAATATACCTATAATAGTTTTAATATTTACATAATAATCACTTTAATTGTAGATTTCATAAATGGTTTCGTAATAATACTATTATGTAATTATGTCATACGTATAATAGCATATAAATATCTGTGTGTATATTTTATACGGGCGCCGTGTTTCTAAAACACCTGCTTAGAATCTTGATATTGAATTCCCAGACTTTAAAAACCAGTTATCTAGATCCTTTGTTTCCGCGACAGTAAACATTTGAAGAATATTAAAGGGTAGTTCTAAGAAATTCATGGTTCAAGATATTTTGGTCGATAAAAGTGTGAAGAAAAAGTTTTCGAGACAACAAAGGCACACTTACGAATGAAGTTCGTTTGATATATGTTTATGACATAAATTAGAAATTTATTTTAAATTAAATAAGTAAAACACTGACATGTTACATATCTTTAATATTTTCATACTTTATTAAAATCAATGTTTAAAAATATCGAAAAGTAACAATGTAAGAAACAAACAATTTTTACATATATTGCACTATTATTTAATGAAAAATCCAAAAGCTAGGAGAAACCTAAGTGGTTTTACTTTTTTGACAAAAACAAGGTTTATGGAACAGGTGAGAGGAAACAATATAAAAAGCTATAAATAGTTGCTTAGTGTTTTTTAAAACCCTTTTCCCCGGATGTTTGATTTTATTGAGTGGTAATGAAGACAAAGTGATCCCATACCTGACCAGGTGGCAATTAATGCATATACAATATCTATTACTCACAATTTAATACATTTCATCCTTTTATCATGGGTAATTTGATCATTTAGTATTTCAACGAACTTTTAAAAGAATATACGATAAAAATATTATATCAAAAAGGACTAGATGATAAAAAGATCAAATATAAGTTTTGCTCTATATTAGGGTGTATTCTATTTTCCCCATAGTAATATGGCTTTTTCCATTTAATGTAGGTATAGGTTTTAACTATTGCCTATATATCGACGTCACCCATATTTACTAATTTTAGTATACGTCCATACATACATATAAAGTCAATGGACTTTCAAAGAAATGTCTTTCGCTATTTTAACCAGAAGTTGGACGTACAAAATAAATATTTAAAAATTGGAACCTCTTGAATTTTTTTTTGATAAAACTTACACTTTATATTTCCATACAGATGCATGATATGAAATAAAAAATTATCAACAATTTGGCTTAATTTTCATTAAATTTAACTACGAAATGAATTACGAAATAATGATATATTTATATATTTTTTTATACCTTGTCTTATTATCTCTAGTTTTTCCTTGTATACACGCAATACTGTAAATTAAACATATTTATTGTTGGAATAATTTGCTCTTATTATATATAATCTAGTAAACGAAGTACATTACATAAATTAGGCAATTAAGTTATGATACCTAACGTTTATTTGACGTGCCATGAGCAGTTAGATGAAATTGTATTGATAGTGAATTAATTATCAAATGGACAGAGTGGAATCGTGTTTTCATCACTTTCATACTGTTTGTTATCATAACTATATAGTCAATCGTAATTATAATTATATTATATCATAATATATACAGAATGAGATCAATAGAAAAGTGTTGCAAAATTAATGAATGAAAAAAATTAAGATTTTGAAGTGGATAATACGTAAAGTGTGATATTTTTAATACAACCTTATCTTTCATAAGAGGAAACACCTGCATCGCGGCAAGACAACAAAGAGTGTTGATCGTTTTAAACCACCCTTATCTGGGAGGAGGTGGCGGCGGAACAAAACATCTTGCCCCGATAAGACAGATACCGGACGGTGTTAATTGGCTAACTGCTGGAACTAAGATCTAGGTGATAAAATAAATTGGGCAGTGGAAACAAAGTGAAGCAAATCTATAAGATTTTATCTGCCAAAAAGTCGTTTATGTTTGTAATTAATTACTAAATTAAATAGAAATCGTAACAAAATGTTATCGAGTTGACATAAGACGTTTTGTTGTTGGAATCTTTTTGAAGCTTGTGGTTAAAGTTTATAATGATAATGTTTTGTGATTTACCGGTGACTTCCGTAAAGATTATCACACCTCGCTTAATGGATCCCTAATTAATTATTACTGCGATATTTCGCCCCGGATTACGGCTTTTCCCTTGCATTGAATTATTTCTTTGTTTACTTGACAGCAACGTCTAAATTTCAAATGGTTTTTAAAAAGGAGATAATTTGCACCTATTATTAAAACTTTTTAAAATTATATAAGACCTCTTTTGCTTAATCTTTTTTAGA